AGGTGCTCGCGGTCGACTTCGACGGTCAGGGCGAGCGCTTCAAGGCTCGGCGCGAGGCGGTGAAGGAGAGCTCTCAGAAGGAGTTCAGCGACCAGCCTTCGGACTCCCCGCCCGTGGGCGGGGATCCGCGGTTGCGGCTGCGGGAGTGCCTGCGCGAGAAAGGGGCTTGCCCCCGCGGACCGCGTGGCCTGCGAGCTGCGCAGCATCTGCAAGGCCCTGTACTTCGCGGGCTGCTACGACCAGGTGAACCTGGGCGCGCTGATGGCGCTGGAGGTGCTCTGCAAGCGACCGGCGGGGATCGTCGCTGCCCGCGCTAACCCGCAGCGCGTGTAGTGGAAGCTGGCGAAGTACTGCGCGGGGACGGAGTCGGCGGAGGACGTCGCGGGCCAGCCCGCGCGGGCTCACGTGGCGCGCCGGATCCACGAGGACCGCGAGGGCCAGCAAGCCCTGCGGCGCCGGCCCCTGGGCCAGAGGACGCCCAGGGCCACGGCGCAGGTGCTGGGCGCGGCAGTGGCGGCGCTGATGACGGACGGGGAGGGTGAAGGCGAGGTGCTGGCGGACGTGCCCGAGGGAGCCGCGGCGGCAGCGGCAGCCATCCGCCCGCCTCATGGTTGAGGTTTCGGCCAGGGGCCCCCCGGCCCCGGCCGAGATCAGGGGGCTGTCGACCGCCCCAGACTGGCGGCCTCGCGGCGGCAGCGAAGCCTGTTTCCACTCCCCCTGCTGCCCCCCGCGGCCGCCAGAGCAGGCGGATGCCGCCGTCGGCGGGCCCCGGCGAACGACGCGCTGCGGGATCTCAACTGGGCGGCGGGCTTCAAGGGTTTTTTGGCGGCCGACCATGGCCCAGACGTCGTGCCGGGCGACGTGGAAGCCGACGTCCAGCGGAGGACGTGCGAGTTGGTTTCGAGCTGGCGCCCGCGCCCCTCCGCCGACTCTGACGAGGCGGCTCTCGAGAAGCTGCTTCGGGGGCACTCGCCGCATCGGGCGGCTGGGGGTCCGACAGGGGTCGCGTCCTTCAAGCTCGACCTCGCGAGTCGGCCCGACTCGGCGAGTGGGCGCCAGCTGATCTCGGACGTGGCGCCAGCGGAGTTCCTGGAACATCTGGGGGGCCATCGCGAGCGCATGCTGGCGCCTCCGATAGATGAGTACAGCGCGGTCCCCGACTTCGAGCCAGTGCTGAGGTTCAATCAGAAGGAATATCATCGGCTGCTTCGTCGTCTCAGCGACGTCGGCGGCGCCGCCTGGACGACCGCCCCGAAGTGCGAGTGGGCCTCTTCATTGTGGAGAAGGGCGGCGGGGCGGAACAGCGTTTGATAGTAGACGCGAGACGGGCGAATGAATGCTTCGGGGGGATCCGCCTGGGATGTTTCTGCTGAGGTCGGAGGGCCAGTCCCGCGTCGAGGTGGGGCCGCCGGCGGAGGCGCCGACGGGGTCAGTGCGAGCCGCAGAGCTGCCGAGCGATTTCTGCTTGACCGCGGGGCTGTCGGACGTCTCCAATTGCTTCCATCGGCTGCGGGTGCCTGCCTGATTGTCAAATTTGTTCTGCCTCCCCGCGGCCCCGGCCAACGTGATGGGCGGGCGCAGCGGGGGCCGACGCGGGGGGCCGCCGCTTGGCGCGCGCCGAGGCGGTCAGCCCCTGCTGGGCGGCGCTGCCGATGGGCTTTATCTGGGGCCTGTGGATCGCCCAGCATATTGACGAGACGACCGCCCGGCGGGCGGCCGCCGGTCGTCTGTCCCCCCGCGGGCCCCGCCACCCCACGACCGCGGGCCGCCGCAGGTAGTGGCGCTCGGCCGCCCCGAGGAGGAGCCCCTCCTCTGCCACTGCGTGCACGTGGACAACTTGGGGGTCATCGGAGCGCGCGAGGAGCGCGCGGGCCAGGTCCTGGAGCAGCTCGATGAGGGATTCAACCGCGAGGGCCCGTTGCCGCATAAATCTGAGATGTCCCGCGGCGCCATAGCCGCGCTTGAGGCTGAGCTGGGCGACCCTGCCCTCCGCGCGCGGGTGACCCACACATCGCATTCTTTTGGATACTACGCGCCGCCCTGGGCGCGCTGCTGCGGCGGCAGAGGGTCAGCGCGTGGTCGCTGGAGGCGATGCTGGGCCACTGCGCCTTCGTGGCGCTGCGCTGCCGGGGCCTGCTGGGCCTCTCCCACTCCGTCTACGCCTTCGTCGAGCGCGGGCGCGCGGCAGGCTCGGCCCAGGCACTGCGGGCCGAATGTCGCGTTGAGTTGCAGGCTTTCAGGGGCATGATGATTTCCCAGGCGAGCGACTGGCTCCGGGACTGGAGCCCCCTGGCCGCGCAGATTGACAGCAGCTTGGAGGACTGCGCCGTGGCTCAGGCCTTCTGGCTTATACAGGCGGCGCAGGAGGCGGGGCGCATTCCCGAGAGACGCCGGTTCAAGCGCGCGGGCTCGCACCGCGCTCGCGAGAGCGCGCCTGAGGCCGCGGGCCCGCGGGCTTCGAGCGGCAGGGCAATGGCAGCTGGGCCGCCGTCGCGAGCGGGCATTCTGCGCCTGTCGCCGAGGCTGCCCAGGAAGCCGCGGCGGAGTGAACAGCAGATCCTTCCTTCCCTAAGGTGCCCGCCCATGTGTTGCAATCGGGTCTGCGGCGCCTGGCGAGGGCCCAGAAATGGAGTCGTTCTGAGGGGGTCCTTGTTAAGGAAGCCAGGGCTCTCGTGAAAGGTGCCATGCGAGTTTCGACGAGCGTGCGCGTCAGGAATGCCAGACAGCTCCTCTTTGGTCACCCTCGCTTTCGGTGGGGAACGCGCGAGAAACATGTTGGGTTCGGATTTGCCACGCCTGCTGCCTCGCCAGGAACCTTCTCGGGGTCGTCCGTCGGGCCCCCTTCCGAGCTGAATCTCCCACATAAAAGCATGAGGATTGTTGAGAACAGCAGTGCCAGCAAAACGCTAGTTGATGATATTCCCGTGAGTTGGAGCGTCAACGGCAACGCTTTTAATGGAGATTCTTGACAACCCACAACCCCCTAGCCAATGCGCGACGCCTGTCCTTGCCAATGCTGCCGCCTGCTGCCTTGCCTCTTCCGTAGCCTTCCGGCCCCGCGATTGACTTCCAATCCATAGTCCATGTTCGGTCAACACATGCGAGCGATGTTAGCGTGATCGGCCGTGGCCAGCGGAAACGCCAAACCAGCCTTCCGCCGCCATAGCGTCGCCCCGCCAAGAGCCAGAGGCGGCGCCAGGCACTGGCGTTGGTCAGACGCCCCGCGCTCCGCACGCTCGAGACCCAGCTGGTCCTTCGCGACCGCCTGAGCAGCGCGCGGGAGGAGGTGGTGCTACCCGGGGAGGCGGAGGCGGCGACCGCGCCGAGGCTGGCCGTTGCCGACGACTGCAGCAGCACCGACGCCGAGAAGAAGCCCGAGCGAGACTCCGCGAGGCAGGCGGCGCAGTGGCGCACTGGCCGTCAGCGGAGGCGGCCTTCTTTGGAGACGGCCGTCGCGGCGACGGTTATCGGCGTCAGTAGCTTCCTGGAGGAGAGCTCCGTTACGCCGAAGGTCCTCGAGCGAAACCAGTCAGAGGTCGTATGGTTAGCGACCTTCGCGGGGGGCCGCGAGCTCGTCGGCGACGAGCAGGTGGACAGCAACCTCGTCGACTATTTCAGCCACCTGTACTTCAAGGGTTGGAGCGCCAACAAGGGAGAGCAGATCCTGGGTGGCCTCGTGCGCCTGACGCCGGAGTTCTCCCGGTCTGGTGGCCTCCAGCCCCCCCGGGCTTGCCGTTGCCTGAAGGGCTGGAGGCGGCGGGCGCCGAATCGCAGCCGCCGCAGCTGGCCGCTGGCCTTGTGGGCGGGCATTGCATGGCGCCTGGTGGCGCGGGGCTACTTGCAAATGGCAGTCTCCCTGCTGGCGTCGGTCAGCAGCTATGCGCGGCCCAGCTAGCTCATGGGCCTGAAGAGAGGAGGGCTGATCGCTCCTGCGGCGGGCATCTCCAACTACTGGAACTTGCTGCTCTTCCCCTCCCTGTTGCCAGACCGCAGCAAGACTGGGCCGAGCGACGTCAGCATCGTGCTGGACTCTGCGCACCTCCACTTCTTCGCGCCGATCTACGAGATATATGCGCAGGGCAACAAAGACGAGCTGGCGTGGAGTTTCACCACCCTTGATTGCCCATGGGGGCTACCAGTGAGTCAGCTCCCGTTCGAGGCAATGTGATTTGAGTTCCAACGATTTTAGAGCACCCGTTAAATTCGAGAATTTGGCATACGCCCGAGTTGAAACATCTGTGTATAACATGGGGCGGTCATGCCAGAATGTCTGATCAGTGCCACTACGCCCGATCATGGCGCAAACGCACGAAGTTCATGCTTTTTGGATGCTTTTCAATATAGACATGTTAGACCCAGAAAAGTTCGATCGCAGGTGTAAAGGCAGCGAGGGCATTTGCAGTAGAACTGGCCGTCAGCATGTTGTCTGAGAGGGAGCGGCGTCATCCGGCCGTAAATGGACCGCTACTGCAGCATCCTAGCCGCCCTCCCTTTGCAAAGCTGTGGTGCACGCTCTGCTATCTAACGCCCGAGACGCCCTTGCCTCAGGCCAACCGCGTCTCTCGTTTTGAGTGTCCTGTCCCGCCTGCCTTGGGAGCCGTGTTCGGTCTTGGGAAGCCCGTCTTCTGGTTTGGGACTCTTGAGCTCGGGCCCCCCCTTTAAGTCTTGGGCCCTCTTTGTAGCCCTTCTGCGCACAGAGCGGGAGGCGCCCCGGTCGCCTCAACGCGTGGCACCTTGTAGCAGATTCGTCCCCCACAAGTACAAACGGAACCACCTGTGTGTGCATTTGCACGGGAAGGTGAGGGGCGTTAGTGCGGTTGATGTTTCCGGTTGCCTTAATCTATGCTCAAGCCTCCTCTCCGTTCCCTCTCTGCCCTTTGCTTTGCCCCTCTCGGACTCTTGAGCTCGGGTTCCCCTTTAAGTCTTGGGCCCTCTTTCTAGCTCTCGTGTGCACAGATCGGGAGGCGGCCCGGTCGCCTCCATTCGTTTCCCACAAGTAAAAACGGAACCACCTGTATGTATGTGTGTGATTTCACGTATGTATGCGTGTATGTGCTTATCCCTGTATGTACGTACGTGAGCATACATGTATGTATGTATGGATGTATGCATGCATGTATGTATGTATGCATGCATGCATGCATTCATGCATGCATGTATGTATGGATGCGCATATTCGTACATATATGTATACACACATTCATACGTGTATATGGACATCTTCGGAGTGGATGCGTCCATAGCGCGGTCGCTGCGTATGGCGCAGTACAAGGTCGGAGAAGAAAAGGGCGGATATGCCTGCAGTATGTTCTTGGTGCAGAGCCGGTCCCACAGGATACTCAAGGGTGCAGAGCAGGTCCCACACGGCACTCCAAGACCCCGTCAGCACGGGTGCGAAGATGACTGCGCCCAGTGCCTCGCGGCCTTGGCCGCCCTGCGCCCAGTCCTTCCGCAAGGCGGCCCTCGCGATGACGCGCGGGCAGTTGCGTGCCGCGCCTCGCGTGGCGCCGGCCGATGCGAAAGCAAGGTGGCACCCAGGCTGCCGCTTGCAGCCGTTCGCCCGCCGGGCCTCTCCCTCTCGCGCCGGGCCCCCCCCCCACCTTCCCCCACCTCCCCGTGATCCCCGTCGAGGAAGGTCGTAGAAGGAAAGAAGGCACAAACGTAAACTGCTGGAGCTCCGCGCGGATTTCTTGGATCTGCGCGCCAAGGGCGGGACCGCACCGCACGGCCTGGCACCGCGCCGCGCCCAGACCCCGACATCTTGAGCTTTTCATCACGTCCGCCCCCATACCCTGAGATCTTGGCTTTTTGCAGCTTTTTCGATTCAGGCGTTTTCGCTTGGTTTCGCGCCCCAGGACCCTCACGGATCGATCTGGGTCGAAAAATCACGCAGAAAGATGTGGTTTGGGACCCCGGTGGTGATTTTCTGTGATGCTGCCAATTTCCTGCAACGCCAGATTTGGCCCCTTCCCCCGGGGCCCCGTCCCCGGTCTCGGCCCCTTCCGGGAGGCAGCGTCGAAACATGTCTCATGCATGCGTCGTGTTTCGACGGCCCCGGCGCCCGGTGCCAGCCCCCCAGGGGCCGAAGACAGTGGAACACTGCCCGTCGTGATTTTTCATGGTCCCGGGGGGGGGGGTCTGGGCGTTGGTCTTGGGGCGCCCCGCCTCGGCTCGGGGCGCGGGCCCCTCTCCAGACATCTGGCTGCTCCAATGTGTTTTACGCCTTGGCCCCGAAGGTCTGGACCAGGTTGAAGTCGGGCGTGTCCCGCTAAAGGATGAATATCAAACATAGTCTGGGGACGATTGTTTCTACTTTCTACTACGTCTGACGATTCTTGAGCATTTTTAGAGCAGTTGTGTTTTTTCGCACAAAATCCGCCTGTAGGGGGACATGCCCGACCTAAGACCAGTTCCCTGATTAGGGCCGTGTTGCGTCCAGAGTCGCTTTGTGACGGTGACCCAGGCCTGGCCAGGGCCCCCCAGAGGCCGAAAACGGGTACAAGAATTTGTCGCTCTAGTTTTGTTCGGGGCATCGCATTTCCCCAGAGATCCGATGTTGTGTTCCTCTCCATTTCCCATGACCGGTTTGTCATCGCATCGCATCGCCAGCGGCACGAGAGCTTTCTGAGGTATGACGGGGCGCCTACACGCCTCGTGGCAAGCATCTGGACGCCTGCAGTTGAAAGTTGTGGCCGAAAAAATTGATGACATCATGGTGAAATCCATGAGTTTACGCTAAGGCCGAGGGGGTCTGCAGCAGCCCTCAGGATGCCGCGTGGACTGGTTTGTCATCTTGAGTCGTTTTTTGATTGTCCCGAGGCTCGGCGAGGGCTCCTAGGGTTAGAACGTCCAGGGTTAGCTAGGGTCTGGTTTCCTTTCGAAACAGCCGAAACCCTCCCGCAACCACCCGAAAACCATCTGGGAAGGGTTCCTGGAGGGTTTTCGGAGGGTTTCGGGGGGATTTTGGAAGGGTTTTTGACGCTTTGGGAGGAAGCCAGTCCCTAGCGAACCGTGGGCTTTCTAACCCTAGGGGCTGAATTTTGAGAAAATCAATTCTGATGTTGTTGAACACCTTGGATCTCTGGGGGCCGGCAGCCCCAGGAGCAGGAGGAGGAGGAGGAGGAGGAGGAGGAATAGGAGGAGGAATAGGAGGAGGACGAGGAGGACGAGAAGGAGGAGGAATAGGAGGAGGAGGAGGAGGAGGAGGAGGAGGAGGAGGAGGAGGAGGAGGAGGGGGAGGAGGGGGAGGAGGAGGAGCGAGGAGGAGGGCTGCCTCCTCGCTCCTCCTCGCTCCTCGCCCTCCTCCTCCCTCGCTCCTCCTCCTCCTCCTCCTCCTCCTCTCTCCTCCTCCTCCTCCTCCTTCCTCCTCCTCCTCCGCCTCCTGCTCCTCGTCGTCCTCCTCCTCCTCCTCCCCCCGCCTCCTCTTCCTCCTCCTCCTTCTCCTCCTCCTCTCGTGTCCGCCTGCCCTCTTCCTTTCTCAGGGTACCCATCTCCTCCTCCTCCTCCTCCTTCTCCTCCTCCTCCTCGCTCCTCCTCCTCATCCTCCTCCTCGCGGCGGCGAGAAGGCCTTTTCAGAGCCCATGCCCCCTCTGGTCGGGAAAAACCCTGAGGTCCTGGCGTCTCAATTTTGGTCGAGCCGGGCGTCTTCGGGCGAGTTTTCGGGCCCCAGGGCCTTCACAGATCGATCCGGTTCGGAAAATAATGTAGAAAGATGGGGTCCAGGGCTCGGGTCGTGATTGTTCCGGTGTCTCGATTTTTTCGCGCCGTCGGATCTCAGGGAAATCACGACAGGAGTTTTTTCGCTATTTTCGGCCGCTGGGGGCTCTTGCCGGGCCTTGGGGCCGGCAGAAGACGACTCAGGGTCCCGGGGAATGGGGCGAGACCTCTGGGAGTCGTCGTGGCGAAGTCGGGGGTCTGGGTCAGAAGGCGGCGGGGCTTCTCCGAAGCCCTGCAGCCTTCGGAGAGGTTTTCTGTGGCGTCGGGGAAGGCGGCGGAAACTTCTCGGAAGGCCGGGGGGATGTCCGAGCCTTTTGAGAAGGCCCGCCCCTTCCCACTTCCCCCCAGGGCTCGGCGCCGATCTGTGCAGTGGGATCGCGTCGGGTCGACTGGCGGCGACCCCGCCGCCGGCGGTCGTCGTTCCGCGCCGCCAGCGACCCGGGATCGGTCCATGTGGAACGCTTGAACGATCCAGCGTTTCGGAAACGGCCGCTCGTTCAAGGCCAGACGATCCATGCGGCGTCGGGAGCACAAGCGTTGTAGAAGTCGATTGATGGAGAGGAAGCATGCTGCCAAATAATTTCCAGGTGTCTAAAACATGTTTCAAAAATGTTCTAAACATGATCAGACATGTGTGAAACATGTTTAGAACATTGTCCGACATTTTAAACACATGTAAAATTCAAGGATCGGTTGTTCGAGTGTCCATTGTCATGGCATCCACAGCACAAGCGCCAGGGTCGACACCGCACGAACCCGCGGCAGAGTGTGCCCCGGCCATGGCGAAGGAGCGCCCGCCGTTCGTGTCGTTCTGCATGGGCGGCCTGTCCGGTGGCACTGCAGTGGTGCTGTCGAATCCCTTCGAGGTGGTGAAGACCCGCTATCAGCTGCAGGGGGAGCTGCCGGGGTCCCAGAAACTATATCGGTCACTGTGGCATGCTTTCTCGACCATCGTCCGGGAAGAGGGCCTGTTTGCCCTGCAGAAAGGGCTGGCAGCAGGAGTGATGTTCCAGGTCGTTTTCAATGGGCTTCGTATTGGTCTCTTCGATCATGTTAAGCCGCTCGCGCATGTCGAGTCTGCGCCAAACTTGTCGAAACTCTTGGCGGGGGCTAGCACAGGTTGTCTGGCAGCGGCTACGTGTTCACCACTTTACATGGTCAAATGTCGGCTTCAATCACAGGCAACTGGCGCCGTAGCGACTGCGGCCTGCACACAGCACGGATATACTGGAGTTGTGCATGGTCTTGCTTCTATCGAAGACGCCTAGGGCGAATCACCGCCGCCCCCTGCTTTTTGGAATCGCCCATGTTGCCGAGCGTTGTGGCAAGAGCTCTGCCAAGCTATTGGACCATGCGTTCTCCCAGCCGTTGTGGAAGCCTTTTGGGGCCTCCTGGGAGCTTCCTGGGGGCCTCTCGGAGGCATCTTGGGGGCCTCCTTGGGCCTCCTTGGGCTTCTTGGGAGCCTTTGGGGGCTTCTCGGGGGCTTCTTTGACAGTCTTACGGCATTCGTGGCCCGTCTGACGCCGTCGGAAGCCGTCGACCTCTTGGGCCGACTTGGGGCCCTCTTTGGGTTCTCCACGTCCGTCTTAGAGGCCATCTTGGGTGTCTTTTGGAGGCCTCTTAGGCCGCCTTGGGGCCCTGTTGGGGCAGTCTTGGGGGCCTCTTGGGCCGTTCTGAAGCCTCTTCGGCCCTCTCGGGTCGTCGGACGGCCGATCAGAAGCAATTGCCGAACTCATCCGGAATCCATTTTGGAAAAACAATTACTTTGTCCTCGTCGGTCCTTCCTGAAGGCCCTCTTGGGTGCCTCTGGAGCCGTCTTGGAGGCTTCTTAGGGGCTTCTTGGGCCGTCTTGGGCCATCTTTGAGCCACCTTGGAGCCACCTTGGGCCGTCTTGGTGGGCTCCTGGCCCGTCTGACGCCGTCGGAAGCCGTCTCGGAGGGCCTCTCTTGGCCGACTTAGGGCCCCCTTGGGGTGCTCCAGGGCACTCTTGGAGGCCATCTTCAGCGTATTGGATGCCTCTTGGGCGGTCTTGTGGCCCTCTTGGGGCCGTCTTGGGGGCCTCTTGGGCCGTTCTGGGAGCATCTTGGAAGCCTCTTGGGTAATATTGGGGCGATCTTTGGGCGATCTGTGGGGGCTATTGGGCCGTCTCGGGCTGTCGGAAGGCCGATACGAAGCAAATGCCCAACTCATTCAATATTCGTTTGGGCACTCAATGATTTAAGCCTCTTTGAGCCTTTCTGGGCGCCCTCATGGAGGCCTCTTGGACCGTGTTGGATACCTCTTGAGGTTTTCTTGGGCCGTCTTGGGGCCATCTTAGAGCCATCCTGGGCCATTGTGATGGCCTCCTGGCCTGTCTGACGCTGTCGGAAGCTGTTTTGGGGGCCTCTCTCGGCCGACTTGGGGCCCCCTTCGGGTGCTACAGGGCCTTCTTGGAGGCCATCTTGGGCGTCTTGGATGCCTCTTCGGGCCCTGTTAGGGGCCGCTTGGGCCGTTCTGAGGCCATCTTGGAGGCCCGTTGGGCGATCTTGGGGTGATCTTTGGGGGCCCTTGGGCCGTCTCGGGCCATGGGAAGGCCGAAAAGGAGCAAATGCCAAACTCATTCAAAACTCCGATGGAGCATCAAAGAGTTTGGCCTGGGCCTTCCTGGAGGCCGTCTTGGGGGCCTCTTGGGCCGTCTTGGAGGCCTCTTGGGTGCCTCTTGGGTGCCTCTTGGGCCGTCGTAGAAGCTTCTTGAGTGGACTTGGAGGCATCGTGGACCCTCTTGGGCAGTCTTGGAGGTCATCTTGGACCCTCTTGGGCCTTCTTGGAGGCCATCTTGGACCATCTTGGGCGAACTTGGAGGCCCTCCTGGGGCCGTCTTGGAGGCTCTTTGTGCCGCCATGAGGTTATCGTGGAGGCCTTTAGAGCCATCTTGGCGCAATTGTGGGGGCCTCTTGGGCCGTCGGAAGGCCGTCGGAAGGCTGGAAAGAAGCACATGCCCGAATCCTTCAAAACACCGCTGGAAAATCAATCATTTGGGCCTCTTGGGGCTCTCCGGGGACCTCTTGGAGGCCTCTTGGGCCGTCTTGAAGGCTCCTTAGGAGCTTCTTGGGCCTTCTTGGGCCGTCTTGGAGGGTCCTTGGGCGGACTTGGAAGCATCTTGGACCCTCTTGGGCCGTCTTGGAGGCTATCTTGGACCCTCTTGGGCCGTCTTGGAGGCTATCTTGGACCATCTTGGAGCGATCTCTGGGGTCTCTTGGGCCGTCCTGGGCTGTTGGAAGGCCGAAAGAAGCAAATGTCAAATCCTTCAAAACCAAAGGAGAATGAATAATTTGGGCCTCTTCGAGCCCTCCTGAACGCCTTGGAGGCGTCTTGGGAGCCTCTTGGGCCGTCTTGGACAATCTTGGAGGCTTCTTGGGCGGACTCGGAGACATCTTGGAGCCATCTTGGGCCGTCTTGGTGGCTTCTTCGGCGGACTTGGAGGCAACTTGGACCATCTTGGGCCATTCTGGAGACCATCTTGGGCCAACGTGACCGTCATAGACGCCAGCTTGAGCCGTCTTGGAGGATTTGTTCTGGACATTGAATTCGTTTCCGGGCCTTCCGCGGGGCCGGCGCGCTGGGCCGAAGCCCAAGGGAGAGTTCTTATGGAGAAGAACCAAGCCAAAGATCGTAGGATCCAGCATGCCAGGCACCCCTGTGGCAAGCCAACAGGTGGCGGACCTAGTGGCCTTCGGTCCACTCCGCCACCGTGCCTAGGTTGTAGGTCAGAGGCCTTTTAGATGCCTGTGGAGACCTCTTGGGAGGCCTCTCAGGAGCCTCTTGGAGGCGGTTTGGGGCATTCTCGGGGCTTCTGGGGCGTGATTCGGGCCTCTCCGAGGCCTCCTGGAGCGTCTGAAAGGCCTCTCGAGGGCCTGTTGGCGGTCTCGGACGTCGTCCATGGGCTTCTTGGCTCAAAACATTGATTCGAGAAGCCGCGAGACGCCCCAGGAAATCTGAGAGCCCTTTGTATAATCGTTCACTCAGGACTGAGGAAGGAGACCTCCAAGGGACCTGAGCACACTCTAACTAGTGCCCGAGGGCAGGGTTGCGGATATACAGAGAGGGTGGCATTCGGGGTCTCTACATCGGTGTGGATGGCTTTATGATGAGAACTGCGGTGGGCAGCGCTGTTCAGTTGAGCGTTTTCGATGTGGCCAAAGACCCTGCGCAGCAGCAACTTGGGCCCTGGTGGGGCACAGTCGCGGCGGCCGGCCTTGCGGGCGTCTGCGCTACAACAGCTATGAATCCCAACGATGTTGTCGCAACACGCTTATACAACCAGCCACGATTGCCTTGCGGTCGCGGCGCTCTTTATGCTGGCCCTGTGGATTGCTTGGCGAAGTCTGTCCGCGCCGGAGGCTTCGCTTCGCTGTATAGCGGGTGGCTCTCACACACGTTCCGCCTTGTGCCGCATACGATATATTGTTTGGTGTTCTTCGACAAGGTGAAACAATTGGCAGATCGGTTCGGCTTTTGAGGCACTTTATCCTTTGCCTACAATCTCCATGCTGTTTCGCAGGAGATACGATTATATCCTGGGAGCTTTCCCTGGGAGGGCATCCCTTGACCAAGGCGTCAAAGGGATCCAGCCGTATTTTTTTCCTTGTGCGTTTGGTGTGGGCAGCGCGTTTCCTTGTGAGTTTGGTGTAGTACGGCCTTCTTGGATAAGATTGGGGCTATCTGGGGCCGTCGTGGACCTCTCTGGAGCTTGGGTTGCTTGGGAGCTTCATGGTGCCCTCTTGTGGTCATTCCTGTGGTCATTCATGGGCCGCATTTGGTCATTCCCGCGGTCAGTCCTGGGCCGCCTTTGGTCATTCTTGGTTCATGCATGCGGCTTCCTGTGGTCATCATGGGCCGCCTTTGGTCGTCAGGGGGTTGTTTGGTGTTTTCTGGGCTGCGTCTTGGCCGTCTTCTGCCCTTCCAGATGCCAGGGGCCCTTTACGGTCTTGGGCTATAAACTATAAGCCAGGTCCCGTGTCGGGATCTCTCGTGGCGTCTTTAGAATGTATCGGGCCGCCTTTCGGCCGTGTTGGGCCCATCTTGAAGACTTCTTGAATCAACAGCCAACAATCCCGAGAAGCCAAAGACAACAACAACATACAGGTTGGGTACGAATCAGTATTTCTCAGGCTTTTCTTGGAGCCGCTTCTGTGCGTCTTGGGGTCTCTTGGGTCGTTTTGGAGCGCCTGGCGCTTTCGTGGCGACATGATGCGCCAGGCCACGGGATGTCACATCCCGTGGCCTGCTTCGGCTGTTCGTGAGAGCCTTCTCGGACCGTCATGGTTCCTTCTAGGGGACCTGGCATCGGCGAGCAGGAAGTCCAGGGGGCTTGGGGGACTCTGGTAGGTGCATACAGGAGGTCTAGGAGAGCCCATGAAACAGGGCAGGAACGTGCGTAAGATATGTTGCGTGTCGAGTTGTCCTGTCTTCTGGGAGCGGTTGACGTTGCCTTCGAGCATTACCGGGCCCTGTGCCCAGCCAGCGAGCGCCACGCTCACAACGGTCCTGCATGCTCCAGGGAGCTCCCTGCTCGGGCGAGCTCCCTGACGCGGGCGCTCTCCGCCCGAGCTCGGGCGCTCCGTCAAAGGCGGCTGCTGGCGCTCCTTTCTCCTCCTCCTCCTCCTCCTCCTCCTCCTCCTCGCTCCCCCTCCTTTGACGCTGCCGGGCCTCGCGTGCCCCCTCCCGCCCAAGCCGGAGAGGGTCCTCCGAACGCTTTAGAGTGCACGTCCCATCAGTTGGGATGCTGGAAGGCCTTCTCCCTGGCGGGGGCGGAGGTGGTTGCGCCGCGCCACCCGCCGGGGCGAGGGATGCGAGCTGGCCGTCAAGCAGTGGCGAAGCGTCCTGGCTCGCCTATAGCCCTACCAAACAGTGTTCTAAGAACTGTTTGTGCTCTCCACGACATGTTCTTAGGGCATTGCTGGCGGAGCCTGTCCTGTTTTATCACGTTGTGGGCTTATGTTCTAAGAACATTGTTTTCTTCGTAGAACAGTTTGGGGTTCTAAGAACATGTCGTAGTAGGGCTATAGGAATGCTTGGACGGTCGGTCCCTGCTCAAGGGTTTCACGTTCGCAGGAAGTTTTTTTTGTGCTGCACATCCCTGTTTAGCTCGGGCGAGGAACATTCGGATGGGAGAGTGGCGACCCCTGGGCGGTGGAAAGCCCGAGCGATGCCCAGTGCAGGACGAACGCGCAGTCGTGCCACCACCCAGGGGTCGGTCCCCCCCCCCCCAACGGGTTATCGGTGGCGGCGGCCCCTGTTTCTCCTCCGAGGACTTCCGTGCTTCCCCCACGAAATGGATGGTTCCAACATCGAAGAAGAAACCAGTACATACACATACACGTTTGGAGCTCCGCGCGGATGTTCTTGGATCGGCGCTGGATCCTTCTACCTTGCGCCCAAGGGGGGGCCCAACGCCGATCCGAGAGATCCGTGCTGAGCTCCACAAGCTCATGTTTACGCTTGCTTTACAGTCAACCCGCGTAGTGAGGGCGGGCAATCTTCCCAAGGGTACCCTTGCATCCTTGCCTCCTCGGTGCATCCTTGGCCACTTTCGTTGGTCGCGCCCCGCTCGAAGACTTTAAAATGGGCTTCCAAGGGCCTTGCATCCTTCTCGCGCATCCTTCCTATACGGGTGGATTTAATTTCTTGTACGAAAAGGAGCACGAGGCGGAGGGAGAAGCAGCAGGGCGCTCGCCAACTTGGGGGCTTGCCCCCTGCCTCCAGGCTGCTGGCGCAGCGCGTCGGAGGTGAATAGACCTCCTACCCTGACACGTCGACTAGTGAATTGGCCGTTTTCGGTTCGCGAGAGGGCGTCGCGGCCGTCATTGTTGCGGGTCTATAGGTCCGTCGATTTCGGTCCCGGGCCGTTTTCACTAAGGGGAGGTTTACTAAAGGGAGGGTTGTCCACCGCCGAGCGCGACCGCTGCCGCTCCGATGATCGCCTGGCCCGCTCGATATTACAGACGGTCGTGGCGTGTTTTTGGGAACGCGCTACAGCGTCGAACATGCGTGCGCCAGAAAGCGCACTGCGGGATTATAGAATGTGCAGCGTGGAAAACGTCGGCGGCGAGGCGCGGATACGATATGTAGAAGACTTCGTGTTGATCACAGAGCATGTGGACACATATCGAAAGGGCGCCCTGTGGCGCAGATTCCTCGAAACTGCGCAACCAGAAAGAAAGCTGGTAGGTTGCACACTGTGGGCGTCCAGTCTTCGTTTGTTCCCACTTCGATGTCTGCTGGGCCCGTTCCTTGTCGACGGTGGGGGGGGGGAAATTCGAGCATCCAGGGAACCGAGATTTGCTTGATATCGTTTGCCATCTCAGGTCCATGGATAATCAGCCGTGCGGAACGCCGCCACGCATCGCTATTTTCAACAAGCGCCCTTCCCCCCAAAGGCGGCCTCAATCTCGACGCGACATGAAAGCATGCAAACGTTGGACCAGTGTTGCCCCGTGGGTCTGCACGTTGGCCTGATGTCTCCAGAGGCTGTAGGTATCCAGCAGTCACGGAAGCCCCCTGGGAGGCCGACGAGGAGGTTCGAGGTGAATCGAAAGAGGGCAGAAAACTTGAACTACCTGTACCTTCGACGGCGACCTAATGAAAGTAGGATCGGCCCCCAGCTGCCGTCGCGTAGGCTCGGAATGGGCCAAAAGAGCCTAAACACCTCGAATCTCGAAATTGGAACTTTGACGGACCACGTCAGCGACGACGGCAATGCTTCGAGCCTGGAGTAAATCCATATCCGCCACCTTGGGACTCCTCTGGGGACCTGGAGGCAGGGGGGTATGGAGACTTTCGTGCCCCTAGGGCCTAGGGGGGGCCCACCCTTCGTGTGCACTGCCTCCTTGGTGTTCTGTGAGGTTCCCAAGGTGACGGGAGATTGCGCGCACGTTATGGGGCAATGCTCCCATACCTTTCTGCATGGACATCGTCGGTAGTCAGTTTGGCTTCGGAGTCATACGCTAGGGGCGAAACGCTAGCCCGATATTGGCAGCAATGATTGCGTCGACGTGATTTGATCGTCCGGCTTGGCTGTTTTAACTTGATCGGCCCCCGGCCCGCAGAACACGACGTCGGCGACGACGACGACGACGCTGACGGCGACGGCAACAACGACGTCAACGAACGCTGGATCGGCCCCTCTGCGAGGGCGGCCTCGAGCTCTCGGGCGGCAAGATGGGCCTGTGCTCGGACGTCCTGCGCGGGCTGCTGAAACACAACGTCTCGGCGCCCGCGCCCTGGCCGCGCCAACCGTTGCCTTCGTCACGGTCGTCGTCGTTGCCGTCGTCACACTCGTCGTCGTCGTCGTCGTCGTCGTCGTCGTCGTCGGTGTCGGTGTCGGCGTCGTCGTCGGCGTCGGCGTCGGCGTCGGCGTCACCGTCGTCGTTGTTTTAGTCGTCGTCGTCGTCGTCGTTTTCGTCGTCGTCGTCGTCGGTGACGGCGTCGTCGTCGTCGCCGTGGTTTACGTCGTCGTCGTCGTCGTCGTTTTCGTCGTCGTCATTGTTCCCAACCATCCTGTGGTGTTGGGTCCTCGTTTTGAAGAGACGTCGCCCCGCGTTCTCCTCTCCTCTCCTCTCCTCTCCTCCTCCCCCTCCTCCTTCCTGCCTCGTCATCGTCATCATCATCATCATCATCATCATCATCATCATCATCATCATCATCATCATCACCATCATCTTCATCTTCATCTTCATATTCATATTCATCTTCATTAGTATCATCATCATCGTCGTCATCATCATCATCACTATCATCATCATCATCATCATCATCATCATCATCATCATCATCATCATCGCAATCGCAATCGCAATCGCAATCGCCATCATCATCGCCGTTATCGCCATCATCATCGACACCCAATTGGGCACACCCCTCACACGTTTTGTGGCCCCATAGGGAGCTCCGCCGAAGGCCCCAGTGCTGCCGCCCGCATGCGTCACGCACACCCAATTCGGCACACCCCTCACACGTTTCGTGGCCCCATAGGGAGCTCCGCCGAACGCCCCACTGCTGCCGCCCGCATGCGTCACGCACACCCAATTCGGCACACTCCTCACACGCTTCGTGGCCCCATAGGGAGCTCCGCCGAAGGCCCCAGTGCTGCCGCCCGCATGCGTCACGCACACCCAATTCGGCACACCCCTCACACGTTTCGTGGCCCCATAGGGAGCTCCGCCGAAGGCCCCAGTGCTGCCGCCCGCATGCGTCACGCACACCCAATTCGGCACACCCCTCACACGTTTCGTGGCCCCATAGGGAGCTCCGCCGAAGGCCCCAGTGCTGCCGCCCGCATGCGTCACGCACACCCAATTCGGCACACCCCTCACACGTTTCGTGGCCCCATAGGAGCTCCGCCGAAGGCCCCAGTGCTGCCGCCCGCATGCGTCACGCACACCCAATTCGGCACGCCCCTCACACGTTTCGTGGCCCCATAGGGAGCTCCGCCGAAGGCCCCAGTGCTGCCGCCCGCATGCGTCACGCACACCCAATTCGGCACACCCCTCACACGTTTCGTGGCCCCATAGGGAGCTCCGCCGAACCGAAGGGCCCAGTGGCGGCGCTCACATGCGTCCCCGCCACACATCCCAGTACACCCCTCACGCGCTTCGTGGCCCCATAATGAGCTCCACCGAAGGCCCCAGTAGCGGCGCTTACATGCGTCTCCGTCACCCATCCCGGCACCCCCCTGCAGCAGCATCATGTTTCGGGGATCCATAGGGAGCTCCACTGGAGGCCCCAGTGGCGGCCCTCACATGCGTTTCCGCCACCCATGTCGGCACGCCCCGCGCGTGTTTCATGTCCCCATAGGGAGCTTCACCAAATGCCCCAGTGGCACCCATCCCGGCACACCCCTCACACGCTCCGTGGTCCTATGGGGAGTTCCACTGAAGATGAAACCCGCAGTTGCGGTATTGACAACTGCATATGGTTGGGTTCTTCGCCAGGCTAATTTTTGTCGGCGTCGGCGTCAACGTCGTCGGCTTCGGTGTCGTCGTCGTGGTTTTCGTCGTTGCCGTTTTTGTCGTCGTCGGCGTCGGCGTCGGCCCCGTTGTCGTGATCGTCGTCGTCGTCTGCCGTCATCGTCGTCTTCGTCGTCGTCGTCTTCGTCGTCGGCGTCGTCGTCGTCGCTGTTCTGTTCTCGTCGTCGTCGTCATCGTTTTCGTCGTCGTCGGCGTCGTTGTCGTCGTCGTTTTCGTTGTCGTCGTCGTTGTTTTGTCGTCGTCGCCATGTTCGTCATCATCGTTTTCGTAGTCGTCGTCGTTGTCGTCGTCGTCGTCGTTTTTGTCGTCGTCGTCGTTTCCGTCGTCGTCGTCGTTGTCGTCGTGGTTTTCGTCGTTGTCGTTTTTGTCGTCGTCGTCGTGTGCGGCGGCGGCGGCGTCGTTATTTTATGCCCGCGCGAATTGTTTTCTGCTGCTTTCTGCAATGTTTTGACCCTGAGCTGTGGTGCCAGTTGCCCTTGTCGCCGTCGTCGGTGAGGGAGATTTGAGGACCGTGGGCTTCGCATGTGTCTGACGCTTGCTGCTTCTCTTGTCTAACTCTCTGGAGCCCTCCCCGGGGACACCCACGGAACCCCAGGTACCTCCGAAGTTTTCTGAGATTGCTGGAAGTCTTCGCACGGCGTGCAACTGTGAGGATGTGCGTTTGGCCTCGGAGTGCCCAATCTTCGCCCCAGAGCGTCTGCCATGTAAAGGGCGGATGGCCTCCGCGCGCCAGCGCAAGAGACGGCGTCTTCTTCGAGTCGGGTCGCGGCTTCGGGCCGCGGAGGGAGCGGCCGCCGTCGCCCGGCTCGCCCTTGCGGTGCTCTGATCGTCAGTGTGGCGTGACTGTTCGTTCCTCGGGAGTTTAGTGAGAGATCAGCGGCAGGAGCATGCAGGGAATACATGTCGAAGACGCCAGCGGCGAGTCACTGCCGCCCAATGCCTTTTGGAAGCCTAAGTGTTGTTAACTGCCGAGGGGAGTGCGACCAAAATCCGTTGGGGAGCCACTGGGGTGATACCGGAGAGGGGCCGTCTCGGGGCTGTCGCAGTGCTCTTTCCTTCCCGCTTGGGCCTTCGTGGGGGCCTCCTGGGGCCTTCTTGGGCCATCTCTGGGGCCCTCTTGGAATCTGTACAGCTGAGGAAGTCTCATGCGAAAACCCCACGTTGATAAGGAACCGTCCTCCATCTTTGTAATTCTTGCAACCTTGGAGACGGATGTGCGCGGCGCTAAGGCGAGAGCCCCATTTTGAACACCCGCCCAGCGTCCCTGTAGCTGTTGCAGCATGCACCAGACCTAAGGCGATAGCCCCATTTTGAAAACCATCCGCACTCCACTCTTTGCAGCCACTAGAAGAAGGTGTATGGCGAATGTGCGCGGCGCTGAGGCGAGAGCCCCAGTGTGAACACCACCCGCACTCCATCCTTCTGGCTGTTAGCATTTGGAGACGAGTGCGCGCGGCGCTAAGGTGAGAGCCCCAGCTTGAACTTGAACACCCGCCCTCCATCATGCTAACTGTTGCGCGGTTTCTAACACGATTGTTCGCGGCGCCAATGTGAGAGCTCCAAGTCGAGAACGTACCTCCCTGCATCCTTGCAGGCGTTGGGAAAAGATCAAACATCAGGATCACAAGGCGTGGGGGATTCTCACATGAAACGCCTGATCCGCCCTACCGACACGTCTGGTGGCAGACGAGGGAGAGTTGCCTTGAAGGGAGAGGAAGAGAGACGAGGTGAACGGAGGAGGAGTGGAGGGGGTGGGGGGCAGCGGAGGAGGATGAAGGTAGAAAGAGGACAAGTGGGGGAAAGAGGATAGTGGGAGGAAGATGATGGGACGAGGGGGTGGGAGGGCTGAGGTGCAGGAGGAACGAGAGGGAGGATGAGGGAGGGGAGAAAGGAGGAGGCGGGGGTGCTGTGAGGAGGAGGAGGAGGAGGTGGAGGGGGAGGAGAAGGAGGAGGAGGAGGAGGAGGAGCAAGGAGCGAGGAGCGGGGAGCGAGGAGCGAGGAGCGAGGAAGAAGAAGGAGGAGGTGCCTGGGCACAGGGAGTAGGAGGAGTTTTGATTTCGAGGGAACGCAAAGGAGAATTGGGCAGACTGAGCGGAAGCATTCGGGGTGGCCGCAAAAGGTGCTCATGGGCGCCAACGTGGCTAACGAGGTCGCCGACGAGCAGTTCTGCGAGGCCACCTTGGGCACCGACGCGTCGGAGAAGGAACGTCCGCAGATGCTCCCCGAGCCCTCTCCCGCCCTGCGCGACGGAGCGCCGACCTGCAGTGTGGTGAGTCAGCGGGGGCATGCGGTGGCGCCCGTGGCCTGCGTGTTGCGCCGTGCCTCGCTGGCGCCACTCGCCCCTTGCGCCCTCCGCCGGCAGCAGGCGAGCTCGAGAGCTCTCTTGCTGCTCGCCGGCCGAATGGGGCGCCACTCGCCCCTTGCGCCCTCCGCCGGGAGCGGGCGAGAGCTCGAGAGCTCTCGTGCTGCTCGCCGGCCGAGCCGGGCCCCTCGGCTTCCTCCGGCAGGGCTTGCGGAGGGTCGCGATTTCCAGGGACCACGCGTGGAAACAATCAAGGCATGGCACCCAAGCACGCGGTGAGTATCACCTCGAACACCCCAGCTCCCTGCTTTTTGTTCGGCACGCCTGCAGAGCAATATGTTGCGTTGCGTTGGCGCAATGGCCTCGAGCTTTCTGCACCTACCGCATTGGCGCCTCGGCTATATGGTCGCTGCGTGGTTTTCCGCCTCTTCCCCCTGTGGGTCCTCAAGCAATCCCATGTTCTACCCTGTTTCCCGTCCTGAGCCTCCGTCCCCTATCCCCCTTAGCTGCCCCTCCACCTACCTCACCCTTGAAGCCAGATCTTCGAACCCTGACGTTCAAGGAGGGGTGTTGCCTACGCCAGTGAACGCCAATTCACGCAAAGGGCTGTACACGCGGGCGAAGTGTTCAAATTCCACAAGCATCACGTGCCGATCAAGTTGGTGGAAGATGAGAAAGATGCCTGGCTGTCCGTCCGTCCTTCTGCCCCTTGACTCTTGCCTTGCGTGCTTAAATATAGCGTGATCAAGCTGGTAGTACTTTTTGACTACAGTATATTGTCTCGGCCCGCCTCCCAATCTCATCACGCACGTGTCGTTTTACAAGCTGCCAGCCTGAAGCCTGGCCATGTCATGTGTTCGGATATGCATTATGCTAGCGTTGCCGAGACTGCAGTGGAGCCATTCCAACACACGTTGGACACCCCTTTTCTCAGAGGCTCGACTGCAGTGCGCAGTACGCTGTGGGAGCGAGCCGTCAGAACGAGCAGCGAAGCTCAGTGCTCCCCGGTGTGGGGCTGCCGGGCTCGCAAACCAAGATCCGCTCAAAACAACAGCGGTCCCCTGAGCTTTCCTGGGGCCCATCCTGGTCAGTTTTCCGAGCTACAGTTTGACGCGGCGTCGATAACCTTTAGAAACGCCCACCGACCTCCATCGCGACGTCGTCGACGGCGTGTCTGGTTGAATGGGGATGCTCTACGTGAGTGTGCCGATTCGATGGACGCTGGGGCATTACAAGTCGCGCTCTATCGAGGATGATTTGTACCCTCTCCACTCCTCCTCACACTCAAGGAGGGAGGACAAACGACACAACCACCCACCACCGGGCCACCTCCAGCAAGGAGGTCCACATGCCTCCCAGAGCAGAAAATCGGAGATGCCTCGAGCGGGACGCTGCAAAACAGGGGGCCTGGGGGGCCCTGGCCTAACTCTCGCCCCTGGTGGCGGTGTCACCTTTCGTTGAGAAAGCGCAAGCATGGATTGAGGCGCGTACATGAACCACGGGTCCCACGTGAGCGTGTTTTTATTCGGCGTTCCGACATTGGGCGGAGGGGGCGGGACGGGGGGGGGGGGCTGGCTCCGGACCTCTGCTTTAGTTCGACTGCTTGGAACCGTGCGTCCTCTGGGGGAGCCTCCACGCGCTCGAAGCAGGCGCCAGAACACAGCCAAGATCTACTCCATGGGGGTGGGGGCACGCGCCGACCAGCAAAACAATGCATAAAATCCGATCACCATTCCCATGCCGAATCGGCGCGCTGCGTCGCCGAATCAGTGGGCACCGGCGCACCGGCCTCATGTTTCGGGGGTGCCTCCCCCGATCCATGTTGGCGTGTGCCCCCCCCCCCCCCCCCTGGGCGGCCACACGGCGCTTCTCCTGACTTGCAGGCACCTCTGATTCACCGACGCCATCACTGCAGCACCTGTTCCTCGTATTCTGCTCCGTCATCGCCATCACTGCGGCCCGGCTGCTGCCATGGTCTCCGCTGACGGGGCCGGCCTCGCCAGCTCATTTAAGACGGAAGTCTTCCGCCTCTGAGTGGCCCCATCTCTTCCCCCCCCTCCGCGGCCGCCCTTTCCGTCCTCTCCCTCCTCCTGCATGCAGGCCAATTCGCTTTTCGGTGCCCCCGTTTAGCTCCAGCGCTGGCGCAGTCATTCTGCCTCGCCGCCGATGGAAAAAGTTTGCGTGTGCCCGATGTTCTTGTTCCTGCCTTTCTCCCGCCCCGTCCTCCCCGACTGGGCGTGCAGCCTTCCCCGACTCTCCCGCGCGCCCCCAGAAGTGGGCCCCAGGGCCAGCAGCTCCTAACGAAGCTGTGCTCCTGCCCTTCTCCCGCCCCGTCCTCCCCGACTGGGCGTGCAGCCTTCCCCCGCACCCCCGCGCGCCTCCAGAAGCGGGCCCCAGGACCAGCAGCTCCTGGTCAAGCTCTTCGACTGCCCAACCTTCCGCGTGCGGGCGGTATCGGACATTGCGGGCGTGGAACTCTGTGGCGGGGGGGGGGGGGGGGCAATTGGGGGAATGCGCGCTGGAGGTGAGGAGGAGGAGGAGGAGGAGGAGGAGAATGAGGAGAAGCAGACGGGATTAGGAAGCCACTGGAGAGGCGGAGAAGGAGAAGAGGGCACGAAGAGGTTAAGAAAAGGAAAAACAAGAAGACGAAGAAGAAGAATAAGACACATCATAAAATTAATCGTAAGAAGAAGAATATGAAGAAGAAGAAGAAGAGGGAACAGGAAGCCACTTGGGCCCACACAGTCGGTTCTCTCGCCAAGAGCTGGGCAGCCCTGCGCATGGAAAGGGGGGTCCTGCCTCCGCATTCCTGTTCCTCATCGTCATTCATTATCCTAACCGTCACCATCATAATCCTCATCATCCTCATCATTACCATCAGCATCATCATCATCATCACCATCATCATCCTCATCAACACAATTGTCACCACCCTCATACACACCATCATCACCATCAACACAGGATTCATCATCATCCTGATCATCATGATCATCATCACCATCACCATCACCATGGCCATCATAACCATCGTCAACAGCAGAAGCATCAACATCAACATCACCATCATCATCAAAGCCATCAGCAGCGCAATCATCATCAACCCAATCCTCATCATCACCGTCATCAGCATCAGCAGTATTACCATCATCAGAAGCAGTAACGTTATTAACATCATCATAAGAAGCATTACCACCATCAGCATCACCACTACCATCGTAGTTTTCACCATCGTCATCATCATCGTCATCACCATCGTCATCACCGTCATCATCATCATGAGGATCACCATCGCCACCAGCACCATCACCATCAGCATCGTCATCATAATATTCACTATCATCATCACCACGATTATCAACAGCACCATCAGCATCCTCGTCATCACCATCACAAGCATCAGCGGCATCGCCAGCATCACCATTCGCAGCATCAACAACATCATCCTCACCATCCACACCATCGTGACCAGCATCTCATCATCAGCAGCAGCACGAGCATCAGCACCATCATCACCAGTATCACTTTCTTCATCAACAGCATGATCACCGTGATAACCATCACCATCACCATTACCAATGACAGCATAATCATCGTCAACAGCAGAAGCATCAGCACCACCATCATCACCAACACCACCATCATCACCACCATCATCATCAGCATCATCATCAGCAGCATCACCATCAGCATCATCATCACTATCAGCAGTGTTGCCATCATCATCAGCAACATCACCATTACCACTATCCTCGTCATCCTCAGCATCATCATCTTCATCGGCATCGTCATCGTTATCGTCATCGTCATTGACGTCATAGTCATTATCGGCATCATTGGCATCTTCATCATCATCATCATCATCATCATCATCATCATGACCATCATCATGACCAGCATCACCACGAGTATCATCATCAGCACCAGCAGCACCAGCATCGACATTCGTGCTATCATCAACAACGGCGCCATCGCCATCCTCAGTATCCTCAGCATCCCCATGATTATCCCCATCCTCAACACCTCCTGTCACCACTGCCCATGCTCATCATTTCGTGTTCCGCCTCCTCCCCCTCGTCCTCCTCCTTTTCCTCCTCCTCCTTCTCCTTCTCCTCCTTCTCCTTCTCATCCTCCTCCCTCCCTCCCTCCTCCTCCCCCTCCTCCTCGCTTCGAGGACGGTCGTGGCCTTGCGGGTGGCCAGCCGCTGTGGGGATTGGGACAGGAAGGGGTGGGGGAGGCTGGGCCCGCCGGGGAAAGGCGGGGAAAGAGGAGGAGGAGGAGGAGGAGGCGGAGGAGGAGGAGGAGGAGGAGGGGGAATGGGGGGGTCGTGGAGGGAGTTGGGGTGCGGGGAGGGGGGAGGAGGAGGAGGAGGAGGAGGAGGAGGAGGAGGAGGAGGAGGAGGAGGAGGATCCAGCAACCCACGTTGCAACCTACGGTCGAGCTTTTTGCCACGCGTTTGATGGAGTGCCCCCTGCAGCGGCAAAGATGAAGGCTCAGTGCTCTTGAGGTGACGTGGAGTTTGGCAGAACCACCGCTTTCGCCAATCTAGGGTCAGATTCAGCCGACAAATTCGCAAAGCATGGAGCTGCGCTGCACCCCCTGCAGCAACTGTTTTCTAAGTAAGTGTCGTGTTCAGGCAGCTGGCCAAAGAAGTGGCTCGATGGGCTGGCCTGCAGGAAGCCATGATGGCGGACAAGGGAGTTCGTGACACTGAGGATCTGGCGGAATTGGGCCAAGGGCTCAGGCGAGGTGGTCTCCAGCTGCAGCAGCCCCGCCCGAGCTTCAACACATGGCGACAGTGTTTTGCTCTGGAGCCCAGGGTCCAATATGAGCTGGAGACCCTCATGGGCCTGACGAGACATGCTATCATGCGTGCTTTTGTTTTGGGTGCTGACGGACAGCGAGTGCTCCGAGGTTCGACGGCTCTTTGTTCGCACGTCTCGTGGGGCTGGCAGCTGCGGGGCATCAAGGCCCT